GTGTACCTATCTCTCATCCGCAAATCCTGGATAAAATTATGATACCTTCACAGATCTTTATTACATAATGCCATTGTGCACCTTTTATTTTACCTTTTTCATCTGACACTTAATCGGGTCTTCCAAAGCAAAACTAGGCCATCATTTAGTGAGCTCACTGATCAAATTACCTCTAGGTTTATTTTGGTATTTTCAAAATCACGAATCAAACAGGGAGATGTGACTCTCGTGATATTCAGGCAAATTTCTTTTTGTTTGAAAATTGTGTAAATACTTTTTTTCATGCAATATCATGTAAATTGGCTTGTACAAAATGATGAAAATACAAAAGTTTTCTTTTCGAACTTTCTTGTGAATTTTTTCTTTGAACAATATTTATGTCAATGCTCTTCATGTACATTTCACATGCAAGTTATGTCAAAAGTCCATGGAATTTTATATTTTATTTATTCCTTAAGAGAAACGTATATCTATATAAGAACTAGAAGTGGTAAACTAACTTTAAGAATAACTTTGTTTATCGGTTATTCCAGTTTATGCCGTGCAAAGCCCCTTGCATGTCCTGTTGTTTGAAATTTGTTTTATAATGATGATTTTTCTTGGCAGATCTTGCCGATTGGCTTGCGTGATAATTTTATGCATACACGCCTTCGGCTTATTGCTTATTGTTAGAAAGATTTCTTTTCAAAATCGATCACTATTAATTATTTTTACCTTTTCATAACGAATATAGACAGACGCAAGAGGGAATTCGAGGATTAATTCTGACATAAATTTTTGTACAAGATCACGCAGAATGTAGCCATTGTAAAAAATAAAACATCTTTTGTAAACTGCCGTTAATTAGTGCTGAATATTTTTCTTATACCCCATTCATTAAAAAATATTTTTAATCGCCTGACTTCCAATTACGACAAATACAGCCGGTTTCTGTGGACGGTCTTTTTTCTACAGTTATCGCAGACGATATACTGTAACATTTACAAGTAACAAATAGCAGTGAAGATAGAAAATAAATATTTGATGATGACAATGTTTTAATAATCTACTTTCAATTATTTTCTGAAATAAAATTCAAACATATTGGAGTTTTCTAACCCGTGTGTGTACAAGGCGGGTACATGAAAGAGTTTGGCGTGCGACAAGGCAATCGTCTTCAAAACATGCAAACTCAGATTATCAGCTAGCACAGGTAGCTGATCTGTCAATCAAATCAGAAGCTATTGTTTTTTTTAATGATTGACAGGCGGTACATTATTGATCTTGAATCAGGTAAATTTTGGGGGCGTTAACATAAAATTGGGTGTTTAAAACTTAGAACACACAGGTTTCTCTAACAAATCTTCTTAACAAGAGAAACTTAAAAGTAAGGCGAGGTTTCCTGGGCCAACCAGGTTTCCAGCTGGTCCGGCTAAAGATTCTCGGGGGGGGGGGGGGCAGCGGAAGCTCATTGGTATCTCACATGTGTGATTTTGGGGTTAAAATGATACTTTAAGATCAGGTATCTAGGGTAGCTTCTGATTCACTGAAACTAGAACTTATGTTGAAGTGCATATATCGGTAAGTGCAATAAGGCATTGATCGTAAAGAGATCAAAATACATGTAGAATATTTTTCAAAAATCTTTCTTGGAAATTTAGAAACATTTAGTGAGGCATTTGCCTCGATCTCATTTCCCTCAATTATTTTATATTCAACGTGGCTGTGTGTATATGGTAGAATGTCCAATGTTCTGGAGATGATGATTTCCCATCATATACTGAAAAAAAAAACAGCACGTAAAAAACTTGATTTTACGAAAGCCTACAAGGGTCAAATAAGAAAATGAAGAAAGAAAAATTAAGTCGTAATAACGACTTTTATCTCGTTATTACGACTTTTTATCTCGTTATTACGACTTTTTATCTCGTTATTACGACTTTCTTAAGTCGTAATTACGACTTTTTATCTCGTAATAACGACTTTATTAAGTCGTAATAACGACTTTTTATCTCGTTATTACGACTTTTTATTTCGTTATTACGAATTTTTATCTCGTAATAACGACTTTATTAAGTCGTAATAACGACTTTATTAAGTCGTAATAACGGCTTTTTATCTCGTTATTACGACTTTTTATCTCGTAATAACGACTTTCTTAAGTCGTAATAACGACTTTTTATCTCGTTATTACGACTTTCTTTTAATAAGATTATTTTCAATGGTTTGCTGTTTTTGACCTTTCCGTATTACGGAAACTTATGACCACCTAGTAAAGTGGATTTATACATCAAACTGACAAAAGAAAACGAGTATCATCTGCTTATTAGGCACGTTGCAGGGCGGGGGGTGGAGGCTTCCCCATTATTTTCTCAAACATAACTTTCCTGCTGATGAAAAAGTTCAGTGCCGCCCCCCCCCAACACTTTTTGTAGCAATATAGCCAGGTACGGAAAGGAGTTGCCAATATATGGTAATTTGGTTATATATAGCACAGACTTTCACGTTGATATTTTGAAAGTTTTTGTCTGTGAACGAGGAATGTAAAAGTACATTTGAACAACAATTTAAACCCCTTTTTGCAAAGAAATACATATTAAATGTAGTCTACATAAGCATTGATAATTGGGGTTTACTGAGTAGCCCCCAAACATTTTTTTGTTGGTTTAGCCCCCCCTCCCCCCTTTAGTTTGCTTTTGACACGCGTTTATGTATCAGATATAATATTTTGAAATGATTTTAATCTTTTTTTTCCTTCATTTTCTAATTTGACACTTGTAGGCTTTCCTATGATTTTAATTTCCAAATAGCGTTTACGGCATTCCATTACTATATGCTTTCGTTCTGTGCAATGACATTTTTTTGTCACGAAGATGTAAATCATTAAAAAATTTAATTGCCCTATATTTGTATCTGCCCTTTGACCTTAAATGGGATAAAAAAACCCCTTTTTTCCACAATTCCAATTTATAAAAATAAAAACTAACAAATATGGTTATCAATATTTAAAATAGACCTGACTTTCTGTATATCACTTGTATATACACGTACATGTATCGAGACCACTTGCTCTAGGCATCGATATCTTTTTATGACCCTTTCTCCTTCCCCGATTATTTCCCTTGATAACATATAAATGGCCCGACATTGACATCAGTGGTCCTTATTAGATTAAATATTTATTGTATAACTTGTATTGTACGTTAATCTATTGATTAGGAGCTGTAGATATTCAAGAAGCCTTGGGTTAATTACTCTCAAAAGCCCGGATGTCTGGATAAAACGTAAGATAGACGATACCTTAAATGAACAGTTTTAAAGTATTTATAATGAAAATGTTGGTCAAATGCATGTAGAAAAACTTAACCTAGCTAGTAATGGCAATGAATCACAGGGAACCAAAACCTTCTCAAGAAACTGTGAAAAAACTGCAGCATATGTAGATAAACTAGACGTACTGTGAGCACTGAGCTAAATAAATGATTCCCCGCCTCCCATATGGTCATAATGGCAAGAACCATGTTTTACTCTGTGATACCCAAAATAAGTGTCAGATCAAAAGTAGTTTTAAAGCATTTATAAGGAAATGTAGATCAAATGCATGTAGAAAACCTAGTAATGTCAATGTATTACAGGGAATCAAAACGTTCTCATATAACTGAAGAAAAATAAATGCAGTATAGGCCTATGTAGATAAATGACCAATGGCATACGTTCATATAGCATTTAGAGAAGTCACTCTTAGCAGCAATGAAATTTTTGTATCATATTTATTTCATCATTGGACGAAATTGTTCACATTTTAGAATATGTAATAGTGGATAACACAAGTTCCAGGAAAGTGTTGCTACTTAGGGTAAGCTTATGAATAGTATCAGGTAGATTTGATATCAGTAATGGTCACTAAACAGCTGTATCTGGTTGTCCATACTACCATTACTGATCGTTACTTACCAAGGTCACATAGAAGGGTTAAGCAAACCTAAGATGATCTTTGTTTTCTTTAAAAAAATGTATAATTATTTCATAAAGTGACAAGAAATTAAACAGTTTGCTCTCACATGTTTGAATTTGTAAACAGTAATTCACAATGTCAATTTCTTGAAATGTACAGTGTAATTATATATGAAAACCTTTTTTAAAATTTTCATAAATCAAATTGATTCTTAGAAGAGGGATTTCTAAATTTAATGACATTTGGGCCTGTTTGAATAAATTTTATATTATAAAATAGAGAAAACAATTAAATATAAATAAAATAAAATAAATTAAATTAATTAAAAAATAAAGATTGATATGGTTTTTTAACTGGGGGTATTTTTGTGGAACGAACTATGAAATAAATTAAAAAAAAACATTTTCGTGCAAACTCACCAGTCATGTATACACGATGAGATTCAAACTATTGTAAATTGTAGTCAGTGATACTCTGTACTGAAAATAGGCTGGTAATGAAAATACAACATATGTGGCAGCCCTAAATTCGACTGTTTAGGCTTATGCATGGCTTTTTTTAGTCATTTTTACTCTTCTTTTTTTTTCTAAATCAGATAAAGTGAATATATTTGTGTGCTAGTCACACGGACACCTATCACGTAGAAACACTACAAGAAGCATGCACCAGTTAGCTCGAGAAATTCAATAAATATACGTGTTTCATATAATCAAAGACATGGAACTACATTCACTCTGCTCTCAATGATCAAATCATGCTGACAAAAAAACAAGAATATAAAAATTAACCAATTGTATATATTTTGTCACACATCAAATATGTGATGTTAACAAAGTGGGTAAATTTATAATGCACCTTGTGAAGTGGAAAAATAAGAAAGACTCGGGAGAAAATGGACTGATTTCAAAAAAGTTTATCACAGATTTCTTTGAAAGCTAATTATGCTTTGCATCAACCGAATTGCAAGTCCTCTGGTTTCAGCACTTATTTAAGCACATGGCAATCTGGTTTGCTACAAGTATATCTTAAACAGAAAAAAGAGGGCCTCTCATTTGAACATTAAAATGTTACTTCGGCTTATTCATCGAGTTCCTGTAGAAGTTATTGAAGTTTGTAACTATAACAGGAACCGGAAGCGCAATGGCTAATAATCCACACAACACTGTGAGGCTTCCGACTAGCTTTCCGAAAACACCTTTCGGATAAACATCCCCGTATCCTACAGTCGTCATGGAAACGACTGCCCACCAAAATGCATCTGGAATACTTGTGAAAAAGGTATGCTTTTCTGGCAATTCGGCATAATAAATAGCACCACCAAAAATCACGATGCCTATTGCTAGAAACAAAACAAACATACTAAGTTCCTGCATACTCGTCTGTAGTGTCTTTCCTAGAATTTTGAGGCCTTCCGAATGTTTGCTTAATTTAAAAATACGTACAACACGAAACACCCTTAGAACGGAGAGAATTCCGCCTTGGTTTCCTTGTTCACATTTCCAAGTGACTAAGAAAACAGTCATGAAAATGAAATATGGGGTTATTGAGGCCAAATCAATCCAGTTGATCATACTTTTCATAAATTTGAGCTTGGAGGGACAGAATATAAACCTCGCAATAAGTTCTATTACAAACCACGCAATACAGACGGATTCGATAATAAAAAGTGGATGGACAAAATTTGGCATCAATCTTGAAATGGCTTCACCGTTTTCAGAAATGATAGTCGTGTTCACACACTGTGTACCATTGAATACTGGAAGAGTTTCCACGCAAAACGTTGCTACTGAAGTTACAATAAGAACTACTGAAAACACAGCTAAAACGCGAGCTGGGATCGAGGATTCTGGGTATTCTAATAGTTCCCAAATTCGCCTTTGAAACGTTCCTTCAGGCATTTCTGGGATTTCATCAGTTTCCATGAAAAACCCTTCTTTCTTTTTATAGGAATTTATCACATTCTTTCCAAGTTCAAAGAATTGAAGCTCGCTAAGAAAGATATCACTTGGCACTTCAATTGGTCTCTCCAGTCTTCCTCCACTTTGATAGAAATATAAAATGGCAGGAAAACTTGGCCGATGGCGATCAAAAAAATATTCTTGTGTGCGAGGATCCCAAAACTTGTCTCTTTTTTCTTTATCTCCGAGGAGTGTATGTGGCAAACGATTTAAAGTCCGCATCTGGGTTTCGAACCGCATTCCACTCACGTTAAGAACCACTCGATTACAACCCTCTTTTGCACAGTCGTGGTCCTTTGTCAGTTCATTGCTTTTGACGAATTCCTGAGTAAGGTCCTCGTTTTCGTTAAAATCGACTTCGTCATCAGTAGCCTCGTTATCACTGCTGGGAATTATTTGGGATCCCGACCCGGCGAGTTTATACTTGAACCAGCTGTGCTTAGAGTCGTTAGAATTTGACCGGTGACGATGTCCATACACACCGGGACTCAGATGATGGTTCGGTGGTCTAAGACCTGTTTCGTTGGTAGTATTTCTTGCCACGAAATGCATCTTCAACCAGTTCTGAGTACCACACGGCTATAAATTCTTAGCCTCACAAAACCGCGTAATTATTCCCGAGAAATTCATTGATAATTTACGTATAAAATTTGAACTCTAAAGTAGAATCTCCACCTCTGTTATATACTGCTAAAAGTTTAATACACATGAAAAAATATTTAAATGGTCACATTAATCCCTCACTTACATTTAATCCAACGTCACGTGGTAAAACATGAAAGAAGATTAACGTTAGTTTTTAACTGCGTTAAATAACGATTTATTCATGGGATAATCGGTGTAAAAATTTAATCCAAGAACAAAGCAAATGCGGCAGCCCCCCTCATTTTGGTCCTGTACAGATCCTGATAATTTGACCTTTCTTTAAGGTACACACAGGGTATATAACGATACAAGGGACCAACAGACACTCTTTAATTCCTTCACACATAGTAAACATTTAAGTGTTGAATAAAGCAATCCACTACGATACCTTTTGTTCAAATTTTTGGACAACGAATGTGATTGAAAAATCCCATACTCTACTCGAGTGCAAGATGAATTTAAATCCAGTAAATAAATATGGAACGTAAGTAAAGGGTTATTTGTTAGACTACAGTTTGTCCAATTAAATGTATAGTTCCTAACTAACGGAAACATATTTAAAGCCCAGTGAAAAGTCCTTTCAAACAGTTTTAAAACTCGACGGTTACTTCGTTTTATGTCGTCTCTCTCAGTGTACAGTCAACGATAGTTCAGTTCAACACGAAACGAAATCAAATCACAGTGTTTTCCCTGACAAATATTTTCTGGATGCTCCTTAATCAATTGTATTTTTCTGTTCTACGTGTACATTGCACCAGAAACGCTTATTCTGCACAGAAACATAGTTCAATTTATTCGTCGTCCATCGTAAAACTGTAAATTTTCAACAGTAAGCCAGCATACATGTCGAATCACCCAAATTCTGCTAATATATTGTTAATGACCCCAAAGAGCCTACATATTGTGGTTCTCAACTAGAAAACACATAGGTTATCCCCGTTCGTAAGTATACACGCGACTCTGGGCATCCCAAACATGGCCTAACGAGCCGGTATATCGACAACCAATAGACACAATACATGTATATATTCCAAGAGTTTGTGGATCCGTTCAGGTGAAATAACTTGGACATACACTTATATTAATAACTAGTGCTGTTTCATTGACGTTTTCTTTTACTGACACTTTGTAAGTAATATCACTAACCTAGCAAATATATACATTTTTTAAATTTGCATAGAATCATATAACATTGCAATGTGCATCTCGGTACATTTTATTATGTAATTTTCATTCAAAACTAGAGGTACTGTGAGCACTGATTTCACCCCCCCCCCCCCCAATGTGAATATAATGACAAAGTCCATATTTTGCTATTTGAGACCCAAAATAAGTGTCGGCTCAAAAAGTGAAATACGAGGTGCACAATGACAGTATATTAAAAAAGAATATGTGAATGTATCATTAAATCTTATTCAGTGGTATAGAAGAAGTTACGGATGATGAGAGATGGGTACCCTTCAATATAACAGAAAGAATGGTAGTGGTCATGTTTTATTAAGGGAAACCAGCAATATGTATCGGATCAAAAAGTTAGGAGGCCAAATGGCACTATGTAAAAAAGATTCTGTGAAAGTCTCATTAAAATTCATTCAGAGGTATTTGAGGACTTGTGGGTAAGAGATGGGTACCCAAAGCGGAACACAAGAAGCGAAGGAAAGCTAGACAGACGGACACCCAATCACTATATACCCCTCTGCTTTTCAAGCGGGGGATATAATGATTACAAAATGTATGGACACGCGACTTATATTGCTTTTATTATTCCTGTCAAAGGAAAGAATGTTACTTGATGTGTGGTCATCATAAATATGATGATATCAGCTCAGTCATAAATCGAAAAAAATGGCCTCTGCATGATTTAACTTTTATTAAATGAATAAAAGTGAATTCAAAAACCTAATTTATCTTTATTTTCGCACAGAAGGGACAGTTTCATAAATCATAAATCATATCAGCCCTTTAAATCACAAATTAATCTAATACGACCAACAACAGTTCATTGCTAAAAGTAATTTCGATCGATTGAAGGGATCATAAAAGGATGTTATTCAGTTACAGAATAACATTTCGCACCGTTAATTCCTAGTCAAATCAGACTAATAGAACCATACATAACACAAGCAACTCAATCAAATTAGATACTTAAATGTTAAAAAGATATTAAAACTTTTTTTTTTTTTTTTCAATTTCAGCACCCATTCGATCAAAGTAAAAAAAAATATATATATTTAAGCTTCGAATTAAAAAAAAAAACTTTTAACTTTTTTGTACGTTCTGTGAAGTATTTGTTACCCCCCAATTTTTATGATAAATTTAATTTTCATTTAAATAACCAATAAATGATGACATTTTTTCTAGTAAGTATAATCAACCAATCAAACAATCAAAAATTCATTCATTCATTCATTCGATCGATCGATCGATCAATCAATTTATCAATCAATCAATCAAAAATTTTCAGTAAAATAATTATAATGAGATAAGTAAACTATTTATGAGAAAAAAAGTTTTCTCATAAACTTTTAGAACCAATAAAAAAATGACCACATCAGTAAGTTGCCATTTCTTGACTGGTAAATTGTTATAAAAAATATATTTAATCTACATATTGACATGTGCTTTTTGTGATTCCGTACACAAATGCATGTTACTGTCGATTCACACCAAACCCACTTGGGATCGCGGTTACTGGTTCTTATATAACAAATGCTCCAGTGTATCTGGTCTCAGTCTGTCTAACGAGCACCGACCTCACAGAAAATATGCAATAAAACAACAAGTATCGCATTAATGAGCCACACGACACGCTAATTATGATCGTGAGGGTCACGGGCTGTCTGGGAGATTGCTATTACTGGATCTACTGAGTACCTATAAGATATATTATGGTTATTTTGGGGTCAAAGTGTGGGTATCATGTCTTAGACTAATGAAATTTGACTGTGTCAGCAGACATGATTATTACGTAGCACACATCAATTGACGAAAACATAATATTGATTAAATTAAATTAAATTGATTTAAAGACGATTTGTTTACGTGAAAAACAAACTTTTCATAACACAAAAACGTTTTTCTTTAAAAAAAAAATTTAACAATACAATTCGCGCCTCTTAAAAAAATTCCAAGGTATGAAAATGAACCCATATTTAAAATTTTAATGTGGAATACTTTCTCGTGATATATAATCGAATCGATAAAAGTTAAATGTCATGAATTAAATACGTAAAAACGTGCCCGGTGTGGTGTCAATTTCTCTCCAGTTTTCTGTAATTATTGTATAGATTATGTCAATGAAATGTATGGCGTATTAAACAGTTTTCATGCATCAAACAATACGAATTTTAAAGCAGAGCAAACATGGACCTCTAAAACACCAGAGGTGGGATCAGATGTCATGGAGTAGTGAGCCTCCCCTACCGACCGGTCATATTCGCCTTGTGTTTCTTGTCATGATCGGGAAATAATGGAAAAATCTGTCGACGATTCGGTGTGCAAATAATAGCCTAACAACTAGTATGGAAAACATCATTCAGCATTAGAATTGATGATAGATTGTATTTTCTGACAATGTCATATATATAGTATCGACCATAAAACTAAAGAAATGATGGCTCTAAACGAGACTGCTTATATGTATGTGAATCAACGTGTTTGTCAGTAACTTACCTCTTTTAAGAAACTGTTTATACATAAAGATTGCTTTTGCTTATCGAATCAATTAAGAGATATAAACCCACATACTGGTAATTAGGCGTTATTGCTGCACAGGTACGGGAAGTTAAAGTCATTACATTCAACATAAAATTGGGTGTTAGATTAACGTCATTTTTTAAAGTAAAATACCCCAATTTGTAACAAATCTGTCCGACTCTGTGGTATCTTTTATTTTAAGCTTTCTAAAATATATTTGACATGTGAATGGAAATATTATTTGTTAATTGATAATACGTCATCGATATTACCAAAATAAATGTCTTGTTGAAGTCCACAGTAAGTGTTTTCTTCTTATCATGCAAGTATAAGATTTTGAATAGATTTTGAAGTTTTGTAGTGCACATGATGACATAGCAAACATTATTTATCTTTGGGTCAAATGCTGACTAACGTTTTTTATACTTATTGTTAGTCCATAAGTTACTAATTGTTATAACCACATTTTTTCCCGTTTACCCGATTATGACAAGAAACACGTGCGTACGGAGGATGTGACCATACTCAAGGGATGCTATTTCCTCCATGTCACCTGATTCCGCCTCTGATATTCTGGTTAAGAGATGTCTGTGTTTATCTGCTTCTGATTTGTATTGTTTAAGTAAATGTAATAGGCCGAGAACTGTCCATTCTGTATAAAGAAGGTACTTTTCTAGGACCGTTTAAACATTAACGTTAACGTTAAAACATTTGCTCTGCTCCTGTTTTGTATTGATAAATAGACTTATAGAGAGCTAATAGCGAGCGCAGCGAGCGTCGCGAAGCGACGCTTGCGAAGCGAGCTCAATAGACTAACGTGTAAGAACAGAGGAAATTCGGAATGAAATCTGTACATACGTCAGGCAAATTTCTCATTCGGCAAACCTCGGCTGATTCTGTGAACTACGAGGTACGAATCGGCCGAGGTGTGCCGAGTGGCAAATTTCTCTGTGCAACATTCCCAGAATTCCTGCACTACCCAATGTCCTTTGCGCGAATAAATCAAAAATAGTAAAAAAAAAATAAAGGAACATTGTTTCTTACCGAGAACTTAACGAAATGATTTTGCCTTGCCTTATTCAAAAAAATACCCCTATGCCACAACACTGGCCTTCACCTTGCCCTTCGGAAATGATACATATGACGTCACCGGAAACTTAAGAATTTTGACGATATGCTAATTAAGTCATGTCGGTTGCTTCCGTGAAATAGATAAATAAATAAACAATAACTTAAAGCATAAAAAGCTTTCAGTTTGTAGAAATCTTTCAAAGAAACAAAAAATAACTCTGCAATGTTTAAAGACCAAAATTGTGCTAGGTCTATAGTTTAAACCAGACGCTCGGCCGTTTTCGTAGGCTCCGACGAGCTCCGTGACGTCGTGTGACGTCACAGCTAGACGAGACGTCTCGTGTGACGATGTTTGAAGTGGCTGATCAATTTTTTAAGTGTTTTGATGGTACAACTGCGCTCGCCTCAACGGTCACGCCGTAAAACATATTAGATTTAACTTGAATACTGACCGTTATCTTCATATATTTCATTACACTTTTGTTTCGAAATGTACTCTTAGAACTGTTTCTTATCTGTCGGATGCATACTTATCGGACAGCCTCGGGTTAAGGTTGTTTACAGTCGAAAAAAAACTTAAGTTTGTTGTAATTGCATTTTAACTTAGTGGAGAGTGGTAGGTAAGCTAGATTTTTAGACAACTTAATAAAGAATATTTATCCACAATTCATGAAATCCAAACACAATTTTCTAGTGACTATCAATGTTGAAAGCATACATGTACTTCTGATGCACAAAAACTCATATATGTTGAGCCATCCAGAACTAAAACAGAAGTCATTCTGAAGTGAC